TTTTATTTTTCAAGAATCACCCTTCACACACCTGGGTGCTAAGATGCTTAACTGTTGAAATTATTTGCAGCGCACCTCAGAAAAAATTGAGACGTGCCGCTCTGACTTAAGAATCGTAGCTCCTGAAGTGGACAGGCCTAGATGTTCCAGGCACCAAGAGTCTTGTTGTCTAGACACAGGAAACACAGTGAGACAATTTTTTCCATTCCCAACAGGATCTACAACATAAAGGAAGTGATCCCATCTCAAGAGTTAAACTTTAAGATAAAATCCTAGTGGGCCAGAGCAGATAGGAGCAACATTTTGAGGCACTCTGTGTCCTGGGAAAGAAAAGTGAGGGAAAGGAAAGAGAGGGAAGAAGGGGCACCAATGTACCAAACATTTCCCGGACAGAAGGGAGAGATAGTACATGTGTACAATCACACAGGAGAGAGGAGAATGGAAAGTTGCAGAACAAATTAGGGTATGGAGAACAGCTCCCTCCTGCCCTTGAGGAACTTAAAAATTTCTTCAGATCATGAGTCATCCAAGGCCCAACTTCTATGGTTCTTCTCAATACACAGTCTACCCTAAGAAGACATTTCTAGAAAAGACTACTAAGAACTTTGGTCATTAAGACAATTTCTCTATGTTCTTTCATTAAAGATTCACTTTTAACTGTTGAACTTTTACCTCTAAGATACACATTGTGATTGCTTCTATGAGTTTTTTCAAAGTGTTAAATTTAACCGAATTATTTGTTATAATGAAGTAATAAATTAGGTTTTGAAATGTAAGGCATTGCTAATTTCGGCATTTATGAACATTAAATAAGATTTTCTCTCACCTCTGACAACTCTGTTTAACCTGAAGACTGTGGGATGCTCCCAGGCCTGCCCTTAACAGTTTAAATCCTTTAGGATCCCATTGGTTAGAACTTCCTAATCTACCCAAAGGCCAGTCCAAGCTTGGGTTAAAACTAGGAGGAAAAAACAAAAAGAGAAGGTTTATTTAGCACTTAACACCACCTAGAGGAGCGAGGACCCAGCTTGAAGAATCTTGGTGAATTAAACCAACAAAAGGTGCTGGCGCCAGCTCAGTGGGCCAGGGGAATTTTTAAAATATAATTAGAGTCCGTCACCTTTTATTTTGGGTCAGTGGACACATTCGCCCCGTTGACAGCCCGTTTAATCATTCGCTCTATTCACTTGAATGTTAGAGAATTGTTTGGTGGAGACAAGCTCAAATACTTGATTTAAATAAAAAGAAATGAGAGAGAAAATGGTTTTTAAACTCTTAGGGCAATTTGTTTAAAACTCATAACCTAGTGGTAATGACGGCATCTTCCCGGCTACCATCAGGAGTCCTCAAGCTCTGTCCTCAGCCCTGCGCAGATCACTCTGTACTCACTGCTATGAGGGGGCATCCGTCAAACACCACAACTGTGGATGGCTCCACGAGTGTGCCTCCCACCTAGGGCCGTGTTTCTCCACTTGGAAACACCAGAACAAAATTCTAGAAGGTCCCCGTCCACACACATCTTGCCCATTTACCAGTGTATCCCCAGTCCCTACCACAGTAACTCATAGCAGGTATTCAATACATATTCATTGGGTGAATAAATGAATGACTATTTCTAGTTGTCTATCACCAAGTCTGTTCACCAGACATTTCCCGAGTCACAGTCATAATCTTCCCATTTCACCTCCTGTCTCCATTCTACAGGAACCTGAAATTTGCAGCTTGCGATCAGCTTATGTTCTCCTTCTCTGGGCCCTATACAGAGTCCTACCAACTTCTCCTTTACTGTGTCTGATTATCTCATTTTTCCCCCTCCCAGTAGCCAAGGCCACACTGTACACCTCAAGCTTTTAATACAGTGATAGTTCCCTTTCTGATTTCCTGTTTTCTCTCTGTTCAGTACATCCAGCAGAGTGGTACTTTATCATGGCAGAGCCCCTTTACTCCCTCCAATGGCTTCATGTTTATGACCAGACCAAGCACAGGGGCAGGAATGTATCGAGGAGCAGGCACTGAATGACTCACTTGCTGCTGAAACCCTGTGAGACCCGGGGAGATTTGCCTCACCACCCTCAACCTCCATCGCTCCCCCTGTAAGATGTGAGGTTTGAAATAGATGGTTTGTAAAGAGAAGGCCACACTAAAATACTGCCATTGTCATCCTGCCAACTCCATAATATCCTCCATTAATCTCATATTCCTCATGCACTTAAACTATGTCCCTAGCCCCACTGCATATAGACCAGTTACCTTGTGCTCCTATCAGGCTTCCTGGTCTATACCAAGAGGCTCCATTCCAGCACTTAACCTTGGCTCATCGGACTTTTGTTTCCCTCCACACGATCCACCCCATCCCACCCACCCCGTTCCTTACCAGTGCTTCCTTCAAACCTGCACTTCCTTCGAGGTCCAACTCAAGTCCAACCTCTACGGAACCTTCCCTAAGTCACCTGTTTACACTGACATCCCCTTCATCCAAGTCCCTGTAGCAAAGCATCACATTGTCTCCCCAAGGCAGATACTCCAAGACAAGAAGTTCTCTGCAAGGAAATTTCAATGAATCTCCAAATGAAAGGGAGTGGAGGTAGGTTCTAAACTTCTCGGAGCATGTTCCCAAGTTAACATTTAAAACCAATTCTTGTTTGTTTATGTTGTGCTTTGAAACTACATGCATAAAGGATGTGGAGGAAAAAATTATCCTCTTGGCAATTAATGTAGAAGAATTTTCCTTTGTAAGAATAGTGGATGTGTTTCAAGAGATAAGGGTGAGACTCAGAAAGGATGAAACCCCAGAGAATATGCTCAAGTAACAGTAAATCCCTAAATGCCCTTTCAGGAGGGTATTTCCCGTGAACTGTAGGGTTGTCATTTTGCTCAGCACTAAGAAGAGTGTAGTATTCCCACTGTAACAGGATATTGAGTGGGTCTCTTCCTGTTGTCTAGAATTTTTGACATGGTCCAGGCTGAGAACAATAGAGGAAAAATAGCCTCACATTCCAAGGAGAGATGTTCAACATGCACACAGGACTGACTAAAAAGCAGGACCACTGACCCTGTGATTCCTGACCTCACTACATACCAGCTGCACGTTGAAGAGAAGCATGCAGGCCTATCTGAACACAGAAGGTGAGGCCTACTTTCCATGCACAGAATTACAATTATGTAGTCCTGTTTGGGGGGGAAAAAAAGAAGAAGAAGAAGTCAAATGGAAATTACGTTGTTTCGGATTAAGCTATAGGCAGAATAGGGTAGGATGGTATTTAAGAACGTGGCCTTGGAATTATGTAGCCTGGGCTCAGATCATGGCTCTATCTTTTACTACCCAGAGAATCCCAGCAAGCTTACTTCATCTTTCTGAGCCTATTTCCTCGTCTCCAAAAATGCAGCTCTGAACAACACTTACTTCACAAGGTTTGTGAGGATTAAAAGAAGTGATGCTTATACTGTGTCAGCACAGAGCCCATCCCTTGGTCAATGAATGTGTGGTATTATTATGTACCAGACAGCCAACTAGCCAGCGGCAGAAACTCAGCTCAGGAAGGCACTTTCTTCTTCATCTAGAACACAAATATTTATTCTTTAAATGAAAAATCCCTTTCCTGTTTCATATGAGATTTTGCTTCCCAAGTAAACAACTATAAATCTCAAGTACACATCTGGATCGCAGTGGCTAATAGAGAGACACAGTAGAAAGCATGCAAAAAATATGAAAAACCTGTTTTGCACAGTTTCCCTAAAATTTTGCAGCTGATGGGGGCCCTCCAGTGGGAGAATCATCCATTCAGTATTAAACTGTTTCCTTTCCCTCAGCAAGCATAGTTTTCTTTTCATTTCTTCCTAATTGTGTGTAATGGTTAAAAAAAAAAATTAGGAGATGCATAGAAAAAAACTCTGAGTCAGGAACCATAGATTCATACAACGTTATGCTTAGGAAGGTGGTTGCTCTATAAAGACAAAATTGGTGCTGCTGTTGAGGATGACATCATAGAGTGCCTGTTCTGTTCAGCATCAAGGAACATTGGGTTATGCTCATTCTATTTTTCCGTGTTACCAATAACTCCCATTTTGCCTGGGTGAAAGCACATTCCTCTTGGTGCCTGGAATACATGGGCGCTCTTGTTTCTAACTTGACTGATCTTGCCACAGATGGTTACTGTGACCTTGGATGTCTCAGAGCCATGCTCAAACCATCTGAGCTAATTGGCTTAGACACTCAGGGATGAGGCAGGGTCCCCCACCTCTGGGATAACAACACCCCATTTCTAAAATGGCCTGTGGGAAATTTACAGGGTCATGGTCATGTTATTTATATGCAAATAGGAAAAGAAAATCCATTCCAGCAGGCTGCCCTCTAACTGCAAATACCAGAAGAAGTTATAAACACACAAGAGGAAGAAAGCCAAGCAGTCTGTTAGCATTATCTCAGAACGCCTAGGAAAGTGAGCCGGCTACATCAGTGGTTACAAAGGGCTTGGGCAAAACTCTACGGCCTACGGCCCTTGGCATCAGATGTTTTCCTTATGCTAATTTTGTAGATAGCAACTTTTGCCTTACATTTCCATGGTTAAACCAAGGACAGCATAACATACATGTATTCTTTAGAACTCCATTTATATTGTAATCACTTCTCTGTGCTGCTCCTAGAGCAGCAGGAAGCCCCTGATTGGTCTCCAGGCTTCCTCAGAAGTTTTTTCTGACCTCTTTCTTAACAATCGGAAGTTACCAGTAAACACTCCTCTCATGACCTCCTCCAAGTTCAAGTTCAGTGTGAAGGTCAGACCTGGTGGCTTTATTTTTTTTTAAGATTTTATTTATTTATTTGACAGAGAGGGACACAGAGAGAGAGGGAACACAAGCAGGGGGGAGTGGCAGAGGGAGAAGCAGACTCCCTGCCGAGCAGGGAGCCGGATGTGGGGCTCGATCCCAGGACCCTGGGATTTTGACCTGAGCCAAAGGCAGATGCTTAACAACTGAGCCACCCAGGCGTCCTGATCTGGTGGCTTTAAAAGCGGAGTTCAATACTTACCTGGCAGGGGAGATACCATGATCACGAAGGTGGTTTTCCCAGGGCGAGGCTTATCCATTGCACTCCGAATGTGCTGACCCCTGCGATTTCCCCAAATGTGGGAAACTCGACTGCATAATTTGTGGTAGTGGGGGACTGCGTTCGCGCTTTCCCCTGGAAAAAAAAAAAAAAAAAGCGGAGTTCAAAGTCAGTCTATCGTCATTTTTCATTCCTAGCTAATAATTTTTTTTTTATTTTAAAGATTTCATCTAGCTTGCAGATTTGAGTAGTTTATTAGCCCCAACAGAAAAGGAATGAAAGCTTTAGCTCTTGACATTTCACCTGGCTTGGAAAGCCAACAGGATTGCAGGATGTGGGGTAAAACTTGACCCACAGCACCATCTCCTGGTCCCGTCTGGTGCATTGCACTGAGAGTGAAAAGCAGCTGGTAACGGCTGAACACTTCTGCATGACGTTCAGGCCCTTAAAGTTCGCCAAGCCAGCCATGGTGTCAATGACCCATCTCTCAAATGTGAACGTGTGCGTGAGTGTGGCCTTCCCAAAAATGCTCAGGACATTGATTAGTGCCAATATTAAAATCCACCAATGTGGTGTAAAACCAGGGACACTAAAAACTGGCAAGAACATGCAGGTGTTAAAAGGGGAAATGAAGGGACACCTGGGTGGCTCGGTCGGTTAAGCCTCTGCCTTCGGCTTGGGTCATGAGCCCAGGGTCTCGAGATCGAGTCCCACATGAGGCTCCTTGCTCAGTGAGGAGCCTGCTTCTCCCTCTCCCTCTGCCACTCTGCCTACTTGTGCTATCTCTGTCAAATAAATAAATAAAATCTTTTTAAAAAATAAGTAAATAAAAGGGGAAATGAAAAAAAAAAACCTCTGTAACAGTGTGAGAAAGCTTCCAGGAGAATACTGGTAGGAGAATAGAGTACTGATTATGATCCCAAGCTTTACAAAAAAAGAGAATAAGGACAAGTGAAAAGTGGGAGGTATGAGGATAGTTGATCTCTTTTTCTAATATCACTTAATAATGCACATTGTATGTGCAGCAAATGAGGACACAGAGGTAGCCAAGGAGTCGTTTCCATGAAATTGTACGAAACATACAAAAAGGATTGATCCTAATCTTACTTCATGGTGGTATATCATACTCATAGGAAACATCTTCCCAAATGGAAACTGACACATGGTGACCACTCTCGACACTACACAACAAACCATTTCTTTTCTCCCCTAAATCAGAGCAGATCATGTGGGCAAGGACATCCCTAAAACTGAAATGATGCAAGAGCATCAATACATACTGCTAATCTCCAGGAAATGTTATCTGCCAATCATATAGTCCCTGAAACAGTCATTTCTAAAACTGGTTTACATAGAATCCCTTGGAGAACTTATTAAAAACGGATTTCCAGATGCTACTCCCATATCGGCTGTAACAGAATCTCTAAGGCTGGAACCCAAGAGACTACAGGTTCAAAATGCTTCCCAGGTGATTCTCAGAGCAACAAGTCCATGAACTCACAACTCCCACATGGGGATCACAGCTATATCTTTTTATTTTTAATTTTTTATTGTTATGTTAATCACCATATATTACATCATTTGTTTTGGTGTAGTGTTCCATGATTCATTGTTTGTTCATAACACCCAGTGCTCCACGCAGAACGTGCCCTCTTTAATACCCATCACCAGGCTAACCCATCCCCCTACCCTCCTCCCCTCTAGAACCCTCAGTTAGTTTTTCAGAGTCCATCATCTCTCCTGGTTCGTCTCCCCCTCTGACTTACTCCCCTTCATTCTTCCTCTCCTGCTATCTTCTTCTTTTTCCTTTTTCTTAAAATATGTTGCGTTATTTGTTTCAGAAGTACAGATCTGTGATTCAACAGTCTTGCACAATTCACAGCGCTCACCGTAGCACATACCCTCCCCAATGTCTATCACCCAGCCACCCCATCCCTCCCACCCCCGACCACTCCAGCAACCCTCAGTTTGTTTCCTGAGATTAAGAATTCCTCATATCAGTGAGGTCATATGATACATGTCTTTCTCTGATTGACTTATTTCACTCAGCATAACACCCTCCAGTTCCATCCACGTCCTTGCAAATGGCAAGATCTCATTCCTTTTGATGGCTGCATAATATTCCATTGTGTATATATACCACACCTTCTTTATCCATTCATCTGTCGATGGACATCTTGGCTCTTTCCACAGTTTGGCTATTGTGGACATTGCTGCTATAAACATTGGGGTGCACGTACCCCTTCGGGTCCCTACATTTGTATCTTTGGGGTAAATACCCAGTAGTGCAATTGCTGGATCGAATGGTAGCTCTAATTTCAACTGTTTGAGGAACCTCCATACTGTTTTCCAGAGGGGTTGCACCAGCTTGCATTCCCACCAACAGTGTAGGAGGGTTCCCCTTTCTCCACATCCCCGCCAACATCTGTCGTTCCCTGACTTGTTAATTTTAGCCATTCTGACGGGTGTGAGGTGGTATCTCATTGAGGTTTTGATTTGGATTTCCCTGACGCCGAGCGATGTTGAGCACTTTTTCATGTGCCTGTTGGCCGTTTGGATGTCTTCTTTGGAAAAATGTCTGTTCATGTCTTCTGCCCATTTCTTGATTGGATTATTTGTTCTTTGGGTGTTGAGTTTGATAAGTTCTTTATGATTTTGGATACTAGCCCTTTATCTGATATGTCATTTGCAAATATTTTCTCCCATTCTGTCGGTTGTCTTTTGGTTTTGTGGACTGTTTCTTTTGCTGTGCAAAAGCTTTTTATCTTGATGAAATCCCAATAGTTCATTTTTGCCCTGGCTTCCCGTGCCTTTGGTGATGTTTCTAGGAAGAAGTTGCTGCGGCTGAGGTCGAAGAGGTTGCTACCTGTGTTCTCCTTTAGGATTTTGATGGACTCCTGCCTCACGTTTAGGTCTTTCAACCATTTGGAGTCTATTTTTGTGTGTGTGGTGTAAGGAAATGGTCCAGTTTCATTCTTCTGCATGTGGCTGTCCCATTTTCCCAACACCATTTGTTGAAGAGACTGTCTTTTTGCCATTGGACATTCTTTCCTGCTTTGTCAAAGATGAGTTGACCATAGAGTTGAGGGTCCATTTCTGGGCTCTTGATTCTGTTTCACTGATCTATGTGTCTGTTTTTGTGCCAGTACCATACTGTCTTCATGATGACAGCTTTGTAATAGAGCTGGAAGTCCGGAACTGTGATGCCACCAGCTTTGCTTTTCTTTTTCAATATTCCTCTGGCTATTCGGGGTCTCTTCTGGTTCCATACAAATTTTAGGATTCTTTGTTCCATTTCTTTGAAAAAAGTGGATGGTATTTTGATGGGGATTGCATTGAATGTGTAGATTGCTCTAGGTAGCATTGACATCTTCACAATGTTGGTTCTCGCAATCCATGAGCATGGAACGTTTTTCCATTTCTTTGTGTCTTCTTCAATTTCTTTCCTGAGTATTTTATAGTTTTCTGAGTACAGATCCTTTGCCTCTTTGGTTAAATTTATTCCTAGGTATCTTATGGTTTTGGGTGCAATTGTAAATGGGATCGACTCCTTGATTTGTCTCTCTTCTGTCTTGTTGTTGGTGTATAGGAATGCCACTGATTTCTGTGCATTGATTTTATAGCCTGCGACTTGACTGAATTCCTGTATGAGTTCTAGCAGTTTTGGGGTGGAGTCTTTTGGGTTTTCCACATAAAGTATCATATCATCTGCAAAGAGGGAGAGTTTGACTTCCTCTTTGCCGATTTGGATGCCTTTGATTTCTTTTTGTTGTCTGATTGCTGTGGCTAGGACTTCTAATACTATGTTGAATAGCAGTGGTGAGAGTGGACATCCCTGCCGCGTTCCTGACCTTAGGGGAAAAGCTCTCAGCTTTTCCCCATTGAGAATGATATTCGCTGTAGGTTTTTCGTAGATGGCTTTTATGATATTGAGGTATGTACCCTCTATCCCTATACCCTGAAGAGTTTTGATCAAGAAAGGATGCTGTACTTTGTCAAATGCTTTTTCTGCATCTATTGAGAGGATCATATGATTCTTGTTCTTTCTTTTGTTAATGTATTGTATCACGTTGATTGATTTGCGGATGTTGAACCAGCCTTGCAGCCCAGGGATAAATCCCACTTGGTCGTGGTGAATAATCCTTTTAATGTACTGTTGGATCCTATTGGCTAGTATTTTGGTGAGAATTTTTGCATCCATGTTCATCAAGGATTTTGGTCTGTAATTCTTTTTGTTGGGGTCTTTGTCTGGTTTTGGGATCAAGGTAATGGTGGCCTCATAAAATGAATTTGGAAGTTTTCCTTCCATTTCTATTTTTTGGAACAGTTTCAGGAGAATAGGTATTAATTCTTCTTGAAATGTCTGATAGAATTCCCCTGGGAAGCCATCTGGCCCTGGGCTTTTGTTTGTTGGGAGATTTTTGATGACTGCTTCAATTTCCTTAGTGGTTACAGGTCTGTTCAGGTTTTCTATTTCTTCCTGGTTCAGTTTTGGTAGTTGGTACATCTCTAGGAATGCACCCATTTCTTCCAGGTTATCTAATTTGCTGGCATAGAGTTGCTCATAATATGTTCTTATAATTGTTTGTATTTCTTTGGTGTTGGTTGTGATCTCTCCTCTTTCATTCATGATTTTGTTGATTTGGGTCATTTCTCTTTTCTTTTTGATCAGTCTGGCCAGGGGTTTATCAATCTTGTGAATTCTTTCAAAGAACCAGCTCCTAGTTTCGTTGATCTGTTCTACTGTTCTTTTGGTTTCTAGTTCATTGATTTCTGCTCTGATCTTTATTATTTCTCTTCTCCTGCTGGGTTTAGGCTTTATTTGCTGTTCTTTCTCCAGCTCCTTTAGGTGTAGGGTTAGATTGTGTATTTGAGACCTTTCTTGTTTCTTGAGAAAGGCTTGTATTGCTATATACTTTCCTCTCAGGACTGCCTTTGCTGTATCCCAAAGATTTTGGACAGTTGTGTTTTCATTTTCATTGGTTTCCATGAATTTTTTTAAATTCTTCTTTAATTTCCTGGTTGACCCATTCATTCTTTAGTAGGATGCTCTTTAGCCTCCATGTATTTGAGTTCTTTCCGACTTTCCTCTTGTGATTGAGTTCTAGTTTCAAAGCATTGTGGTCTGAAAATATGCAGGGAATGATCCCAATCTTTTGGT